TGCTATGCAGATCTATCCCATAGTGTGACGTTTGGGTCATTTCAACGTTATTCCCACTTCACAGTGAAGAATTTGGGAGGATTGAGTAAGGCTCTTCCATGCAGTTTAGGAGCTGGGGTTGGGACATTTCTGAGAACTGACAGGCTGTTCTAGGTGTACTTGTTTTGTGCAGTTCCTAGGCAGACAACAGGAGAACCTGTGTGAGGTGCCAACCTAGACCCTGCCAAATTTCGATGCAAGTACATTTGCCTTCAACCTAATCTCCACCCAGTCCCACTCTGACTTCCCAAGTGCTGAGTGAGTGAGGAGCTGAGCCTTCTCAGAGAGGCATGTTCTTAATAGAATTTCAAGAGAACGTAATGGCAGAGTAGGCAAGATAGTTTCTGTGTCTTGAGGATTTACTGTCCTTTGCTAAACCTTCTTACATGACTTTGCAAGTCAGCCTCAGGCACTAAGTTCCCACCTGTCCACACCTCTTGGCTTTCCTGCAGCTGGATGGCAAAGTTCCTTCTCAGACATGATCTCATGATTTCCCAAACAACCCTGGGAGATGGGCAGAACAGGTTTTATTGTCTCCATTTGACAAGGGTGGAAACTAAGGCCCAGGGGCCTGCACAGGCTACTCAGGGTCACAGCTGGTTAATGGAAGGTCTCTGACTAGAACCTATATCTCCTGATGCCAGCCCAAAGACAGAAATTTGAAGAGTGAAATGGAAACTTTCATTTCTGTTCAGAGTTGTCACAGGCTTTTTGGAATTTTCTGATAGCAAGCTTTTTCAGGTGACAGAGGGAGAGATACAAACTGAGAAGGCAATTCCTTATCCATACCTATGAAACTCTTTTGTGCAGATGGGGAAGGGGATGGGAGGGGGTTGGGGAGATTGAACCCAGACTCTTATGCATACTAGATAAGTACTGATCACTAAGCTACATACCCAGACCTATTTCTTCCCATAATTTTTGAATTAGTGTTGGCAATGACAGTCATTAGAGGTTGTCTGTCTCTCCTCTGCTCCCTTCCTACATGATTTCCTGGGTGTCACTCTCCTAAGAGAAGCCCTTACCACCTACCTGTCTCCCTCATAGCCCATCTAGTTGGCTTCCATACTGTGGGGCCTCACCATCTGGCTGCAGAGCCTCTCTGGTGGACAGACAAATGCCTGTCACCATCACTCTTTACCTGCCCTTAGGTTTGTTGGTGCACTCTGACTGGGTAATAGGGCCATGTCAGGTTCAGCTTTTCTGAATCTGTCAGGAGTACAATAGTTATGGGGTAGTCCACTGCAAAATTCCACTTCTCTTATCCCCTGTGGCCTAGGCAATCTGTCATAGATTGTGAATGAATACCACCGTAATTTTATTGCTGACCCTCTCAAGCAAAAAATGCTGGTGAACTGAAGGAGGTGGTGCATGCCTATAATCCCAGCTCAGCTACTTTCAAGGCTGAGTCAAGAGGATTGTATATTTGAGTCCAGCTTAGACAACTTAGTAAGACTGTCTTAAAATAAAAAATAAAAAAGGGCTTGGGATATAACTCAGTGCTTACCTGGTATGTGCTAGTCTCTGGGTACAATCCTTAGTTTTAAAAAAAATGCTAATGGGAGAGATGCTCCTTCTGATTCCCTCTACTTCCCTTAAAGATCAAAGAATGCTGCAGGTAGATGTATAATATTGCAAATGACAGAAATGATAAGAGTAACAATGGTGTGGTTTCTTCATGTGTGAAACGGAGATAGAGGGCTATTGTAAGTCAGTGGTTCTCAGCCCTGGCTGCCCATGAGTTACCAGAGAGCTTTTAAATATCTCTATCTCCAGGCTGTAGCTAAGAGCTAGGAGCTCAGAATCTCTAGGCTGAGACCTAGATCCCAGGAGTTTTAAAGTTTTCAGGGGATTCCAATATGCCACCAAGGCTGAGAACAAGTGCACTAAGATCAAAGAGTTGGCTAATTGTTTAGAACAGAGATATCCCTGCAAAGTGTAGTAGGACACATTTGTAATCCCAGCTACTTGAGAGGCTGAAGCAAGAGGATCTCAAGTTCAAGACCAGCCTCAGCAACATAGTGAGGCTCTGTCTCAAAAACCAAAAAGTCTTTGGGGTGTAACTCATTGGTAGAGTGCCCTCTGGTTTCTAGTCCCTGTACTGGCGGCGGGGGGGGGGGGGGGGGGGAAGGGATATTCCACATCTGGCTATTTTCTGGAATCATGGGGGAGGGGTTCTTTTAAAATTATGCCAATTTCTTAGCCATACATTCCAGACCATTTGAATCAGTGACTTTGGGTTGTAGGTGCCTTTGCTCAGCTTTCACCTGAGCTAGTGGTTATGCTGATGCTGGGCCAACATTATAAATATTTTCAGTCTTCATAATTATCTAGCCAAGGAATCATGATTCCTATTTTACAGATAAAGAAACTGATGTTCAGAGCAGGTAGCAACTTGAACCATGTGATAGTATAAATAAGTTCTTAAGGCCATGCCTGTCTGATCTTGAAGACTGATATTGTTGATCAATCTCCATTATGGGGGCTTGGGGTATGGCCCTGGAGAAGGGTGTTCTATCTTCCCTAAATGGCTCAATCAGATGGGGTAAACCAGCCAGCTGTCTTTGCCCTCCCTGAGATTCCTCACAGCAGGTTGAGCACAGGGTCCTTCCCCAGTGAGGAGAGGTGAGATACAAGGTGTGGCTTGGTATTTGGCTCCTCTTAGTCACCCACTCTCAAAATACTTTCTTTGGAGGGAGATTAAGTCTGTCCCAGTCATCTCCCAGTGCAATGCTGCTCTCACAAGGAAGAAACTCAAGAGGGAAAAGCAAACACTCATTTGCTTTTTGAGAGTTTGAGGAATTTTTCAGGCATGTGACATAGAAAAATGTCTCTGTTCCGCTCATAAGACAAAGAGTAGGCTATGTCAAGGTGACCTAAAACCTGTAGCTCTACTTGACAAAATTGCTTTTTGCCCTTCCCAAACCCTAATGTAGTCAAAACAGCTTGGGATTGGGAGATGGGGGACTTGGTGCTACCACCCGCATGCTCTGTGAGCTTGAACAGCCCACTTAAAATCGTTCAGCTTCACGTTCTCCATCAGACAAGTAGAAATTCAGGGCTGCTGTGACAAGGCCACAAGAACTCTGAAATGCCAATAGCCTCTTGAGGCATCAGAAGAAGAGGAGTGTGGCTGCGCTGCCACCAAGGCTCACAGCCATCTGGAACCAGAAGGTTTGTCAAGTGTTTGCTGGCATTCTCTCAGGACCCAATGTCCCCAAGGCCAGAAGTAGCTCCTAGTGACCATCAGTGTTAGAGACACGCTGAATGCATTCCCTCTGGCTTCACTCCACCTGTATCAGTCCCTAGTGTATGGGCAAGTGAGAACCAATGTTTTGGGTCTAAATAGCTGAAACTTTAGGGTTAGTGGACAGTGCAATATAAATTTGGCTCCAGAAAGCCTTCCATGCCAGCCCGGTCCCCAGGGACCTCTTTCTCCCCAGAACTCCCTCTGCACCTGTTGCCTGTGCCTTTGGTCCCTGCTCCTTACTGCCCAGCACACAGCAGATGCTCAGTGTTGAGTGAATGGGGGATGAGGAAGGAGACATTCATGAACCTGTGTTTGTGACATTTCTAAAGTGCTTGCCATAGAATGATGTGTAAGTGTTGGTGTATCTATGCCTTGCTTGCTCAACATGACTTTCTTGTTGTCACTCAGTTTATTTTGAAGACCATCTAACTTAGGGTTTTTCTAATAATAGAATTGTCTAGATGTAATGCTATTTTCTGAGGTTGAGGCAAATATCCAGGGTATCTCATCACTCCAGAGCCACTAAGAGAATACTTCTTTAGTCTGGAGTTTGGTGGCCCCTTATTAAGCCATTAAACTGAACCGTAAAACTTTCTGATCTGGGTGTGATGGCTCAAGACAGTAATCCTAGCTATTGGGGAGGTTGAGGCAGGAGGACTGCAACTTTGAGGTTGGTCTCAGCAATTTGATAAAAGCCCATCTCAAAACAAATATAAAAAGGGCTGGGGATGTGGCTCATGGGTAGAGCACCGTTGTATTTAAAATCTAGTTCTAAAAACAAAGCAAAACAAAACTTTCTGGGTTACCCAAGCAGTGGGTTTGTGGGGTGGCAAGAAAACCTGGGGCAGAGTAAAAAGGGATTATGAGAGGTGTGGCCACTGAAAGTCTGCAGGGACTTAGATCTGCCCCTGCTGATGGCCTGCTTAGAGATGGAGAAGCATAAGGTTGCTGCCCTTCTCTTGGGGGTGGGCTGCCCTTGGAGCACTTAGAAAAGATGGCTCAGGGCTACTTGCCCCTCTTGTATGGTCACCCTTTCATGGTTATTGCCTTGAAAGGATGAAGTGAAGGATTCCTAGGCCCAGCCCCAGTTGCTACGGAGCAGGCCTTCACCCCTGTGACTGTCTGAGGGGCTTTGTGGACCGTGGGTTAGGCAGCCAACTTTTGAGGCTTGGGTTTGGGATTAACACTGTGATGACCTCAGGCAAGCCAGTGCCTCAGTTTCCTAATTTTATAACTCTGTGGTCACACTGTCATGGTCTCCCACTATGATGATTACCCTTGTCAGGCTGCCTGTACCCCAACCTCCACCCCAACCAGAATACCTATCAAGACCACCTGCTTATAACACTGTGATTTCATCTGGTGGATTAGACTTGGGTGCCAGCTTTGCAAGGTGATGCTTTGTAAGGACAAGGCTGTCATCCTGATCAAGTCAATACTTTTCAGGGGCTTGGTGTTCACCTTTGTATACTCAGGATAACAATTTTTACATGCGTTCCTAGTTAAAGGTAGAAGATTTATGAACAGAAGGGAAGCCAAGTACCTGTGCCATCTTGGTCACTGGTTGTCAGCCAGGTGGGGATGCTGGCCAAGGGCATAATTTGTCCTGTTCTGGTAGAATGACTGAATTAGTAACCCAGTAGCTGGCAGTGGGGGTAACTTCCCCAGTGGGCACAGGACATCCTAATTGTTTGTGTCTGTGTTCCTTCAGTGGCCAGTTTGCCATCGTGAAGAAGTGCCGGGAGAAGAGCACAGGACTGGAGTATGCAGCCAAGTTCATCAAGAAGCGACAGAGCCGAGCCAGCCGGCGGGGTGTGTGCCGGGAAGAGATTGAGCGGGAGGTGAGCATCCTGCGGCAGGTGCTGCACCCCAACATCATCACGCTGCACGACGTCTACGAGAACCGCACCGATGTGGTGCTCATCCTCGAGCTGTGAGTGAGGTGCCAGTGACCCACGGGGGCAGGAGGGGCGGGCAGGGTGGTGAAAGCTTTAGCTAAGGCTGGGGGATAGCAATGACCAACCTAAGCTCAGGCCAGAGGTGAAGACAATGGTGGGCAGTTTCCCTTTTCCTCAGTCATCCCCATGCTTCTTCTGAAACTGGACCAAAGGAGGGAAAGACAAGCTTGCTGAGTAGCAGGGGCAGAGGGCAATGGTCTCAGTCTTGTTTTCATTGGTCCTGGGGATGGAAGGGAAGAAATGACTGGCGCTGGGTCATCTCCTGGCTGGAGGAGCATGAGGGAGGGTGAGAGGGGGCAGCGGGTGGGGTGGGGAGCAGGGGAGGCTGTCAGGAAGGGATCTGTTCTATGAGGAGGGGAAGAACAAACATCCTTTGAGCTCTATGACGCTCTTCTCCAGCCCTTTCCTGGGGAAAATCCACTGTATGTGTACTCTGTTTAACACCTTTATTGTTTCCTGATAGCTATTATTTAGAGAGGCCGACTATAGGCAAGCATTTTATGGGTGCATTACGTTTGTCATCTTGTTCAATCCTTACAACAACTGTGATGACAGAAATGTTGTCTAACACAGGAGTTATTTTGTATTCACTGAGCCAAGCACTTCTGTTACCTGGTCTAGCCCTCAGAACAATGCTATCACATGATGACTCTTATTATCCCCATTTACAGACAAGAACACTGGCAGGCCAGGTCACTTATAAGCCAGGAAATGACAAGGCCAGGACTGGAGTCCATATGACTTGTGCAGACATCTATAGACATGAGGCAGGACAGCATTATGTTGGTCTAGGTGAGGAGGACTTCACAGTGGTTGGTGGAATTTGGATAGATGACACCAAGATTCCAGGGGTTGGTTGGCCACTGTCATGTTTACTTGGCACCTTCTCCAAAGAACAGAGAGTTAGGGCCCTGGAAAACAACAGGGTTTGAGTTGCACTGTGGCCCAGGTCACAGTGGCTATGTCTAGGAAAATGTTCTAGCTGGGCATGTTGGCACTTTCCTGTAATCCCAGCTACCTGGGAGGCAGAGTCAAGAGGATCTCAAGTTTAAGGCCAGCCTGGGCAATTTAGTGAGACTCAGCCTGGAATAAATTTTTATAAAAAATTTAAAAATAATGTTCTGAGCTTCATAAACATATGCATCTGCCAGTGAGCAGGGAAATGGGGGCATTTACCTCAGTGATCCTTGAACTTGGGTAGTTTACCTCGTGGCTCCATTTCAGATCTCACCTGCAAACCAGGTAGCCATCCTTAACCTGCCAAAAAATTGGGTATACTACCTGACATTTGAAATCATTCTATTTTAAGAACTATCTTTTTGTTGGCAAGATATTTAAGAAGTACAAGATGGACTGGGGTTGTGGTTCAGTGGTAGAGCACTTGCTTAGCAGGTGTGAGGCCTTGGGTTCAATCCTCAGCACCACATAAAAATAAATAAGTAAAACGAAGGTATTGTGTCTATCTACAACTAATAATTGTTTTTTAAAAAAAGAAGAAGCACAAGAGCGTTTGTATATTCCTGTATTTGATTCCAGCCCGATGTTTAAATGCTTAGAATTGTTGGTGTTCTACTCTTCTATAGCACCCAGCGTCCATTCTGTTTTTCTTATACGTGTCCCTATGCCTGTCTGACCCAGATAAAAGCCTGATGTGTTCCCCCAGGGATGGCCTGCAGGGCTCACAGTCAGCCATTAGTAATGGGCCCTCTTCTTGGGAGCTCAGGGGCACGCACCATCCATTGCATTGCACTGATGCTCCTGCCACTTGTCTGGGCTACTGTGCTTGTTGAGTTCTGACTATTCACAGTTTCTGTCTCCACTTCTAAGTTGTCTCATTTCTCTTGGCTCTCAGGATGCCTATCTATGGAGTACTAAGGACTTTTTTTTTTTCTTTTTGGTACTAGGGGTGGAACCCAGAGGTGCTCTACCACTGAACTACATCACCAGAGTCAGTATCTCACTAAGGTGCCCAGGTTGTCCTCAAACTTGTGATCTTCTTTCCTCAGCCTCCTGAGTTGTGTGTCATTGTGTCTGGCAGTGCTAAGGATTTTTTAAATTAGGAAAGACCCAAGTTCACTAAGACTATGTCTAAGCCATGTGTGGCCAGAGTCTGAGAGGGAAGACCTCCAAGGAGAGGAATTCATGGGCTTTTTGTGCTTAGATTTGGTGAATCATGTTGGGCCTGTAGGAATCTTTGACTTCTGGGTTCTCTCTCTGCCCTCTAAGTTACTGGTTTTGCCTAGTAGTTGAACATGGGTGTTGGCGTCCACTTGCTCAGTTGAAACTGCTTAGTTAGAGGTTTGATGGATTGTCCATCCTGATTCCATGGCCCCTCTCAGCACCTTGTCTGGTATAGGGCTTCCGTTTACTTTCTGCTAAAGCAGTTAGGAGGAGGAGGACATGACCAAACCTGACTCAAGCTCCTTTCAGCTGTCCCGATCCCATATGTGACTCCTTAGAAGGAGTTGCCTCTAGACATGGCTGCTGAAGGCAGGGTTGGGAAGAACTTAATTGTCCATAAAGTTGACTTCAGTATGGCAGGAAGAACATTCAAAATCTCAGTAGATTAACTCATGTCTTATATGGAAGAATATCAGCCTTCCAGTGAGGGCCAGGCAGGCCCCTCATTGCAGCCCCAACTACTCAGGACCTCCCAGACTCCAAGCTTGCAGAAAGTGATACCCTGTGGTTACAAACCAGGGAATGGGGTGGTGGTGGCGCTGAATGGAGTCCAGCTTCCTGGACGCAGCAGCTCTGGCAGCATTCTTCCCACTGCTACATAAGCAGATCATTTGTGCATACATTCCTGGAAGAGTTCTGGAAAGCATTTGGGCTGGCAGACCAACCTGCAGGGAGGAAGGAGACAAAGGTCAGGTTAGCAGGCAAGGAACAATCCTGGAAGGCTTGAGGAAGAGGCCAGGCTATTCATTTTGCTTTCCATATCAAAAAGCTAAGGAGATTTAGGTGTGAAATGAAGCCTGGAAGGAGATGGGAAATGACTCCAGAGCAGAGGTCATAGAGTCAAGAAGTCCTTGGTAGAAACTTTGTTGCTAGCCACATCGTGGTGGATACTCAGGAGGCTGAGGAAGAAAGGTGGCTTGAGACCACTATGCCCCTTGGGTGCCCACAGGCAATATTTAATAGTGAATAGCCACTGCTCTCAACCCTGTCTCTCTCTTCCTCTCCCTCCCTCTTCTCTCTCTCTCTCTCCCTCTTCCTCTTTCTCACTCTCGCTCCCCTCCCACTGTGGTGTTGGCATTTGAAGCCAGAGCTATGCTAGGCAAGTACTCTACAGTGAGATTTATCCCCAGGGTGGGACCCTGTCTCTTTTTAAAAAGAAAAGAAGCAAAGAAAAAAGTAACTATGTTCATGGGAAAAAGAAATAAATCCCAGGCTACTTGATTGGGCTTGGAAAAGAGGCAACTGAGCATTGATGTGAATGTCCCCAGCCTGGGTATCCAGGGCTTGGATAGTCACCCTGGATAGACTCCTCAGCTTTCCACTTTCTGAGTCTCTGGGAGAGATTCTAAGGGCTGCAATTACTGTTCGTTTTTTCATCCCAAGGAGATCATGTCACACCAGGTCTCCTGCCCAGGTCACATCTTCAAACAGATGACTAATTACTACTTTCCAAAGTCCTCACCCAGCCTCGGTTTTCACTTTAGTGGCTTTGGGGGTAACAGGATAGATAATCATTAGAATGATAATCTTTTACATTTATGCAACACTTTATTTAAAGTAGGAATAGTAGAATTATTATTTTAGACTGAGAGATTTGCTGGAGGTCATAGCCTTATTTAACCCAGTTGGGGGACTAGGAGTATAGAAGACAAGGGTGGGACTGGGTTCTGTGTTTCAGAGGTGACACGACAGATTTGAAAATCTGAAAAGGCTCTAGAGAGGTCCCTTGTCTATGCCAAGATTTTGCTGTCTATATGATACAGAATATTCTCTTATTACTTATTTATTCACTCATTTATTCATTCTTATGTGGTACTAGAGATTTAACCCAGGGATGCTGTACCACTGAGGTGTATTACTACCTCTTTTTACTTCTTATTTTGAGACAAGGTTTCACTAAGTTGCTGAAGCTGGCTGATCCTCCTGCCTCAGCATCTCAAGTCATTGGGATCATAGGTATGTGCCATAGTCCCTGGCCCATATTGATTTTTTTTTGTACCAAGGATTGAACTCAGGGTACTTAACCACTAAGCCACATCCCCAGCTCTTTTACTTTTATTAATTTTGAGACAGGATCTCACTAAGTTGCTTAGGGCCTTGCTAAGTTGCTGAGGCTTGTGTAGAACTTGTGATCCTCTTTCCTCAGCTTCCTGAGTTGCTAGGATTACAGGCATACACCACAGCTCCTGGCTCATATTAATATTTTAAATGTTTTGTTTCTTTCCTTTGTTTTATTCATCAAACTTCTTTGAATGGCGTTCTTATACTAGGTGCAGTGGAATCAAAGATAACCTGGCTGGAGAGAGAGTCAGATAAAGATGTCCAGTGTGTTGAGGGCTTGGCTGTAACTGAACAGCAGGGCAGTTCCTGGGTGGCTTTCACTCTGCATCAACAGTTCAGGCTTTTCAATGTGGAGAGAACATGGCAAGGGACCTGTGGTGGACTTGGACTTAGGACACCTGGGTCTAAATCTTGGTTGTATCACTTACTAGCTATGGGACCTTGGGCAAGTCACATACTCTCTTGGGACCTCAGTTTCATCATCTGACAAATGGAGATAGTCATTTCATCATACCTCTCAGGGTGGATGAAAGGCACAAGTGAGAGAATGTCTGGTAAAGCACTTGCACAGGTGGCAAACTTTGAACGCAAATCAAGCCCTTTTCCACCTCCGCCACCCCAGCAGTGACACTGTGCGTGGTTTTTACTTCAAGAACTTTATCAAAGACCTTATAGCCTGTGCCCAACATTGCATCAAGATTCCTCCCACTCCCACCCCCACCCCAGAGGTGGTGATTAGACTGTTTTCTTCTCCTGTTTCACAAGAAGGAAAGCTGAGCCCTAGAATTTTCACATGCCCCACGCCAAGGTCAAGGTTGAGTCTTTGGTGTAGAATAATTGGGACCCTATCCTGGCCCTTTGACCCCAGTCTGCAACTCAAGGTGACTCCTGCAGTATCTGTGGGAGTGCTCCAGTTTCCAGCACCTGTCCCAAGTCAGTGTAGGGGTAGGGTGGGGCACCCAATGACTTCGCCATGAGACACTGGGAAAAGAGTGCACCAGACTCACCCCCAACACTAAGGTAGCCACTTCAGCCCTGTGAGCAGAGTGACACTGCAGCTCTTGCGGATGGTTTGTGCCAATGTACCATTCTTTTCTCACTCTCTTCTCTCCCTTTCACCTTCCTCCTGCTCTCTTTTTTCCTCTTCTTTTTTTATGCCATTGATTTGTTAGAAAAATTTGGTCATTTGACCTGGTAATTATCTCAGTTCAGATTTAACTTATTCCTTTCACAGTTATTCAGCACATTCCTCTGCCCCCTATATTTCCTATAAATTGGTAGTTAGATCTAAAGGAGGTGCCTTCCTATTGCTGCTGTCCAATAGAAATGTAATATGAACTAAATATGTAATTCTAGTTTTCTTTGTGTTGGGTCATACTGGCAACTGAACACAGGAGCATTCTCCCACTGAGAAATATCCTTTTATTTTTTATCTTGAGACAAGTTCTCACTAAGTTGCTGAGGCTGTCCTCAAATTTGAAATCTTCCTGCCTCAGCCTCCCTATTTGCTGGGAATAGAGGTATATGCTACCACACCCAACTATTTCCCCCTCCTCTTCTTCTTCTTTCTGTTCCTCATGTATGGTACTGGGGATTGGACCCAGGATGTTCTACCATGAAGCTACATCCCCAACCCTTTAAATTTTTTTTTTTTTAATTTTGAAACAGGGTCTTACTAAGTTGCTCAGGCTGGTCTCAAATTTGTATTTCTCCTGCCTCAGCCTCCCAAGTAGCTGGAATTACCGGGTGCATCACCACACCCAGCTGCATGGATTCTTTTATTCCATTCCAATCTTAATTATATTACTCAAGACACACATACTTCATACAATGATCAATAGGTTACTGAACAGCTAAGAAAGAGTTAATGTAGCCACAGTGTTAAAGAGGTAGCACTGAGAGCAAAAGCAGAGAGCAGACACAGAGGCAAAACCGTTACTGCAGATGGTCAGAGGAGATTAAGAACCAGCCTACGAACTTGTTGAGGGCTCAGAACTTGTTCAAGGAACTTGTCAATTGGTCTGACAAGGTGATGGGGTAAAGGACCAGTGTGTCCTGTCTTAGGGGTCCTTCCCCGTATGCTTCAGGTAAGAGAGTTGAATCATTTGGTGGTCTAGTGTGTTTGATAAGCTCATGAACCTATTTTCTCTGAAGAAGCTTTGATACACTCATACATCCATCTGCCTCTGATTTAATTTGAGAAGTTCATAGGTGGTCATTTTTTATTAGTACAATTAATCTATTCATTAGTTTGTGCCTTATGATTGTGCTGTGTAGCTTGGGGTTGTTCTTTTTTTGTAAGTTCTATATGTCCAACACCTAGTGGTTTAGTAGTTTGACCAGGAACATTACCAAGTCATGCTGCCTTAGCACTTGACTCAAAATGCAGTAACTCAGGGCAAACTGCTGCTTCATAACTCAGGGCTAACTCCAGAGTAACTCAGGGTTAGGCACGAGCTGAAAACTGCTGTTCCACACTACATGGAGTAACTCAGAGCAGGGTCACAGCTGGCTCTCTACAGTCTCTAAATTCGTAACTGATTCCAGCATCAAATCCAAAGTTTGTTTACTTTGGTGCCAGAAATTGAACCCAGGGCCTCACACATGCTAAGCCAATGCTCTAACACTGAAGTGCTTTCCTAGCAACTACAAAGTTTAAAGTCCAAAGTCTCATCTAAATATTATCTAAATCAGTTATGGTGAGACTCAAGGTATGATTCATTCTGAGGCAAATTGCTTTCCAGTTATGGATTTGTGACATAAAATGTGTTATATACTTCCAAAATACAATGGTGAGACAGGCATGGGATGAACATTACCATTCCAAAAAAGAGAAATAGGAAAGAGTGACAGGTTCTTTTTTTTTTTTTGTACTGAGGATTGAACCCAGGGGTGCTTAACCACCGAGCCATACCCTAACCCTTTTTAATAATTTATTTAGAGACAGGGTTTCACTAGATTGCTTACTAGATTGCTTAGGGTCTTGATAAATTACGAGGCTGGCTTTGAACTCACGATCCTCCTGCCTCAGCCTCCCGAGCCTCTGGGATTACAGGCGTGCACCATTGCTCCTGGTGGGAGTGACAGGTTCTGAGTCAGTCTAAAACTTGAGACTCCAGAGTACTTTTTGGCTTAATGCTCTGCCCTTCAGGCCCTCTGGGACAGAGGTCCTGTCCATACAGCTTTGGGTGGCCCTGCCCTCGTGCTTTTGCTATGCACAGCCCATGCCTCAGTTCTCAAGAATTCTCCTGGAAGGAAGCACACCTGTGGCTCAATTGGTTTGAAGTCTCAAGGACTCCCATTCCAGGGAAACCTAGGTGGAGGCAGCCATACCCACGTGACTTTGCTTCACACAAAGCCCACAGCAGGGCTCCTCTGGGAACCACACCGGAAGTGTGTGATGATGATACAGTTGGAGAGCCCACCCTATGAGGCAGCTCTGGGTAGTGAGCCCTCCTATGGTGGTTCTATCCCCCAGGCCCTGGCACTATGGGTCTGTGATGGGAGGGGCAGCCCCCTTTTCCCTCCATGATCCCTGAAATGACTTCAGGGTCTTTCTGTCATTGTCTGGGATAGTAGATTATCTAATCTCCCTATTATTATTAGATTAGATGGCTGACTAATCTCCCCCATTGTCTTGATGAGTAGCAGCTGGCTTCCCTTGACGTGGTTGATCCAGATTAATCTCCTTATGAGCAATCCTTGGCCACACCTTTGTTCTCTCCTAAACAGGTTTGCTCATTTTTTTACCCCCAATGGAGTAGGCTGAGAATTTTTCCCACTTTTAAGTTATCTTGTCTTTTTGATAAACAATTCCATCTTTAAAATATTTCTCAGGTGGTCACAGTGGCATGTGCCTGTGATCCCAGCAGCTCAGTAGACTAAGGCAAGAGGATTGCAAGTTGGAGGCTGGCCTGGGCAACTTAGCAAGACCTTGTCTCAAAACAAAAATTTAAAAAAAGGATTGGCAAACTGAGAGTGGTAGTACATGCCTATAATCCCAGCAACTCAGGAGGCTGAGGCAGGAGGATCCCAAATTCAAAGCCAGGCTTAGCAACTTAGTTGTATCCTAAGCAACTTAGAGAGAGATTCTGTATCAAAATAAAAAAGGGCTGCAGGCATAGTGATAAAGTACCCCTGGGTTTATTCCTCAGTACTGTAAAATAAAAATTTGTAAGACAGGGTGAGCAACTCTGTGAGACAAAATAAGGCTGGGGATGTATGTGGCTTAGTGGTCAAGTGCCCCTGAGTTCAATCCACCCCCCTCAAAAAAAATAAAGGATGGCAATGTAGCTTAGATGTAGAACACTGCAGGATTCAATCCCCAGTGCTACAAAAAATAAAATCAAAAAATAAAAATAACTAAGAATAAAATAAATAATAAATTAAAAAGATAGAAATTGAAATTAAAAAGATAAAACATTTCTCTCTTTTTACTTACTGTGAGCAGTCAAGAGGAACCAGGTCACTCTTTCAACATTGTACTTAGAAATTTTCTCAGCCAAATATCTAATTTCTTCATTCAACCTTCCACAAATCACAGCATATAAACAAAATTCAGCCAGGTTCTTGGCTACTCTGACTTTTTCTTCATTGCCCAGCATCTTGTTCCTTATTTCCATCTGAAACCTCATCAGAATGGCCTTTACCCTCCATATTCCTACTAACATTCTATTCATGACCACTAAGGCATTATTCTCTTACAAGACCGAGAATCTCCTCCTGTCCTTCTAAGCCCTCACCAAAATCACCATTCGTAACCCTTTCATGACAACATGGACTGGGTGGTTTATTTAAATAGAAATTTATTTCTCATGCTTCTGGAGGCTGGAAAGCCCAAGATCAAGGCACCAACAAATTTGGTGTCTAGTAAGGGCTCACTTCCTCATAGATAGCATCTTTCCTGTACCCTTGCTAGGCGGAAGAGATGAATGAGCTTTCTGGGGATCTCTTTTATAAGGGCTCCAATCCCATTCATGAGGCCTCCACCTTCATGACCTAATCACTCCCCAAAGGCCCCACCTCCCAATATCATCACCTTGGGGATTAGAATTTCAAAATATGAATTTGGGGGGGACACAGGTATTCAGACCATAGCATTATTCCCCAATGCTTCTTTCCATTCTCTGCCACATCAGTCATACAGAGAAGATGGTAACTGCCAGGATAACCAGGGACCTGGGCCTAAATGTCAGCAGAGACCTTTCTGGCAATATCCTCAGGGTGATTTGTACCCTTGACCCCCAAAAGAAAGAATACAGAAATCAGTGTTTGATGTTGCTTGGACAAGATCCTAGGCAGGGCAAGGGGGATTCTGCCTTCCAGGATGCCTGGGGGTCACCCATCCACCTGGCCTCATGACACACAAGGCTGACCGGGCCTGGGCCCTTCCTGCTGGTGTCTTGCAGAGTGTCTGGTGGAGAGCTGTTTGATTTCCTGGCCCAGAAGGAGTCGCTGAGTGAGGAGGAAGCCACCAGCTTCATTAAGCAGATCCTGGATGGGGTGAACTACCTTCATACAAAGAAAATTGCTCACTTTGATCTTAAGGTCAGTAAGGGGAATAAAGGAAAATCAGCATAGGGAAAAGGGGTCCAGTCCCTCCCAATGTCATTGCCAGGTGGGGCCCAGTGCCCACTTGGCTCTCTTCCCTTACTTTAAAATTCAAAAACTGAGGGCAGCTGGGCACAGTGTCACTCTCCTATAATCCTAGTGATTTGGGAGGCTAAAGCAGGAAGATTGCAAGCTCATGGTCAGCCTGAGCAATGTAGTGAGACCTTGTCTCAAAAATAAAAAGGAGCTGGTAACTCAGGGGTAGAACAGCCTCAGGTTCAATCCCTAGCACTTTAAAAACCAAAAAGAAAAAAAAGAAATCCTGAGGGCTAGGGATATAGTTCAGTGGTAGAGCACTTGCTTAGCATACACAAGGCTCTGGATTCAATCCCCAGCACTGTTAAAAAAAATAAGTAAAATAAAAATCAATCAGTTAATTAAATAATTGAAACCCTGAAATGATGCATGGTAAGTGTCCACCTCTTCAGAATCATTTCATCTATCAGACTTTCTGCAAATTAAGGCTGACTTCAAGAAGCTTCTTAATCAACTACAGGCACCTTTTCTCTTCCAGGGGTCAGGTAGGACATAGATTTTAAATAAGTAGACCAATGACAGGAAACTTAAAACCAAACCCATTTCACAAGATTGAACTTTTCAGTAACAAAGAGCTCTGTCCTGAGTGGGTGGAGGGTTTGGAGAATTGTTAAAGTTGGCTGCCTCTCTGGTCCCTGGGAGCACGGTGCAGCCTCCAGCATTCCTCCACCAGAGACTATAAATCTTTGAGCCCAGGGACCACTGGCTGCCCTCTTCCTTCCGACCCCAAACACTGGACATAAACTGCTTCCAGAGCCCACTGATCATTTGTGGTAACTGGCATTGAGAGTTGATAAAGTTCACTCTGACCACATAGGACTTCATGAAGAAAGAATGTGGTCAAAGTAGAAGGATCTGTTCCTTAGTAACTGACCTCAGTCACACAGACATCTGATGAGCCTTGAAGATACCTAACAAATAAAGGTCTTTGAACTTTTGGTCAGACCCATGTTTCTAGGAAGGAGGCCCATTCATCCTTCCATCCAAAAATTCCTGTGGCCTTTTACCCGGCTCTCTCCTGGATGCCTGGATATTGCTGAGATGCAAAATCACCTGAGGCCTGTCATGGCTTAGTACAGAAGATAGATCAATGGCTCTAAATGTATGATAGAGAGAAGCACAAGGGTACTGGGGATCCAAATGAGGATATACCTAAGACTGGGGTATCAGAGAGGGCTTCCTAGAAGAGATGGTATTTGAGTTGAGTGTCCTGAAGGACTCACAGGTGTTAGCAGAGGGGAAGGCCCTTCTGAGGAAGAGAGGCCAGCAGATTACACATCATGAAACAGCACAGTTCATTTAGGGAAGTACAGGCAAAGGGAATATGTGCTAAGTGGCTGGGAAATAGGCCAGGAGAGGGGCAGGAGGCAGACAAAAGGAGTGGGAGCTAAGCCAAGGAGATTGCACTTTACCCTGAGAGATACAGAGGCCAGGTGAGCAAGGGTGTGTTTTGGAGCCATCCCTCTGGCTGGAGTATGGATAGGATGGGGATGGCCTGGCAGCTGGGGGCCCAGCTAGCAGGCTGATAATCTGGGTAAGACATGAGGAAGGATGGATCCAAGATCTGTTGCAGGGCTGGGGTTGTGGCTCAGTGGTAGAGCACTTGCCTGGCATGGGTGAGGCCCTGGGTTTGATCCTCAGCACTTCATATAAATTAATAAATAAAATAAAAGATCCATTGACAACTAAAAATATATATTTTTAAAAAGATCTATTGTAGAGGTCAAACTGAGGATCGATTTGGTACCTAATTCAATGCGGAGATGAGGGAGAGGGCAAGGTCCAGAATGACATGCAAGTTCTGGCGTGGGGGACTGGCCCAGAGAAGCTATGGCATGCTCGTAGTCTCATTGCTGTGCCAAGGTGTGGGCTCAGTTCCCTCACATAGGTTCCTGCCCCAGCTCTTACCCTGCCTCACAGGGTGACCTGCTGTGAATCCCCTTAGCAAATCCCCCCTTGTTATGTTGATTATCACAGTATTTTGAATTTAGAAAATGTTTCTCTGGGGTGTTGAGTAAAAGTTGGGATCACACAGGAGGGTGACGCCTGGGCAGGCCTTGGACTTCAGGGTGGTGATACCTGAACAGGAAATGCTCTGCCTAAACTGCACCTGGGTCTCCTTCCCGTGGACAATTAACTTGTTGTTTTCTTGTGTCTGCTGGCTCCAGAAGACAGTCTCAAAATGGGCTCCTTTGTCTTTCTCTTGCTGGAGCCCGCAGGCCTGATCCTGAAACAGGTTCATGGTGTTTGGTTTGCTTCCGTGGCAGATCATGTGGTACAGGCAGGCTGGCTTGGAGTCAGCCAGGTGGGACTTTGCTCCTCACTCCCATGTACCAGGATACATCTGAACCTCAGTTTTTCTTCTTGGATGCAACACATTTTTGTTGCAAATAACAAGAGCTAACTGGCAGAGTTGTTGTAACAGAGAGAAGAGGCATGAAGTGCTGAATATGGAATACATGCACTGTAATAATAATTGTTATTGTTATTCCCCTTCCCAGAATAGAGGAAAAGAGAAGACAACTCATTAGTGTTTTGGGATCTGATAGGCTAAGGAAACGTACTCTGCTAATGCAGTTCTCAATTGCCCAGCAGAGAGCTGAGATTGATTGCTAGGTGGAACTGCTGGTGGAGCCTGGGCTGGTATCTAGCTCCTGGGCTCAGTCTGAACATTTCCCATGACCGAGAGGCAGCCCAGGTTTCCCTGGAAGCATGTAGGGTGGTGATGCTGCTAATCCCCACCCATGGCCATATATCCTTACAGTGTATGGACTCTGAGCTTTCTAACTACCTGACTCATCGGTCCCTTCACTCAGGCCCAGCTCAGCAACTTGGGGAAGTGATGAGTAGCTGGAACTCAGAGACATCCCCTCATGGTTGAATAGACGCTTCATGCATTCAGAATGTGGGTAATGTGTGTCTCCTGGCTGGAACTTTCTTTTTTCTTTTAACTTTCTTCTCTCTCTTTCTCTCTCTCTTCTGTAATGGGGCTCCAACTCAGGGCTTTGTGCATGCTAGGCAAGTGCTCTACCACTGAGCTACATCCCCAGTCCTTTTTGTTTTTTATTTTGACCCAGGGTCTCACTAAGTTGCCAAGGCTTCATAAACTTTTAATTCTCCAATCTTGCTCTCCCAAATTGCTGCAATTACAGGCATGTACCACTCTGTCTAGCTTGAGCTGGGTCCTTGCTACCCATAGGATACATGAATCCATTCTCAGCATAGCATTCAGGCTTTTCTTGCACTGTCTTAGCCCTGTTTCTGGCCTCATTTGCCCTTCCCCACTCCAAAACACCAGCCCTGCACATTCTGGCCTTTCTCCTCCTCCTGTTCATGCTGCTCTCATCCAGGATGCTGCTGCTCTTCCTTTTTCCTCCCCAGTGACTTCCTGATCATTCTTCAAGGCCAGCAGAAGTGGCATTTCCTTTAGCCTTTGCCATCTCTGCAACCTCCAAAAGTATAACTAAGAACTAACCTGCTGGCCAGGCATGGTGGTACATGCCTATAATCCCAGTGGCTCAGGAGGCTGAGGCAGGAGGATTGTGAGTTCAAAGCCTCACCAACTTAGTGAAGCCCTAAGCAACTTAGTGAGACCCTGTCTCTAAATACAATATTTTTTAAATGTCTTGGGATATGACTCAGTGGTTAAGCTCCCCTGGGTTCAATCACTACTACCAAAAATAAATAAACAAACTTGCCTGCTTCTCTGCTTTTGCTGCCCTTTGTACAAATTTCTGCTAAGAGCGTGCATCATTACGAATCACTTTCTTCTGCACAGTGCTTGCCATATGATGAGTCACTCTGTGTTGAATGAATGAATGGATACCTTAGTGAAGAACAAATGTGCTTATGGATGTGCAAGGCCCTTTCATGTCTCACTTGGAAAATATAAATGAGGTTACAGGAAGAGTTTAATTCACTAATGTGAACATATCTTGAGGGCCTGCTATAATCCAGAAGGGAGAGTGACAAATATCAATGTGACATAGCACCTGCCCTCCAGGGGTCTACTGTGTACAGGGAGGCCATATAAAATAAACACTAATGGATTCTCACCAAATAATGCCTGCTTCCAAGGGGTGAGCTCTTTGTGTGAGCAGAGCGGAGATCATCCTAGTGTGTATTGCAAATTCACCATAGATGTGGTAAAGTGGGGTTGGTAAGGGTAGATGATGTTGAAGTTACACAGATGGAAGGGACACTGAGGCTGGTTGCCCTTCAGTGCCAGGTGGCACCTGACAAGCCTCCTGCAAGACAAATAACTAGCAAGTGAGGCTCAGTGCCATCCAGAAACCTCACCCATTTCAACACAAATAAAGGTCTTCTAGGGAGTATTTGTACGTGGTTTTATGCTTATTTTGGATTTGGGAGTTTTCCCTGAGTATGGGTGTGTCCCTTCTTTCCCATCCCCACCCTAACCTGATCCAATTTGAAAATCTGAAATGGAAAAGTCTCCAGGACTAAGGGTATTTTAAGCAAAAGAACAAATCATGAGAAATTATTAAAATTGGATGCAAGCCAAAACTCTGAGCGGGTCTTTTGATTTACCCCTGTAGTGCCTGGAATCATCCTCTGTGCTGTTCTTAGGTTCATAGTGTGATCAGCACCACTGGTTAAGCTTTCCTAAGAATGATAATGATAATGCTTTAAGTGTATATGGAATTTTCTAGAATGTAGCATGCTTACACATCTTTTTTTCTCACTTAACCCATTGAAGTAGAAGATATTCTCACTTTTTTTAACATATAAAGCAATTGAAATTCAGAGAGATTAAATAATTTGCCAAAAATCACACAGATATTGAATGATGGGGACTTGAACTTAATCAGAGAGGAAACTCTATTTCACCAGATGCTAACAGTCCAGATTTTTTATTTCCTTAATTCATGCTTTTTATGCAC